ATTTTTCCGGAAAATTTATGTATTTTAGTTTGTTTTCCGGTTACTTTCCGGTTACAACCGGAAGAGTATGCAAATAAACACAAAATTTCCGGAAAAATTTGTGTGTTCCGGAAAAATACAAATTTCCGGAAAACACATAATTTCCGGAAAAATACAAGTTTCCGGAAAACTTTGTGTGTTCCGGAAAAATGCAACTTTCCGGAAATTTTTGTATGTTCCGGAAAAATACAAATTTCCGGAAATTTTTGTGTGTTCAAGAAAAATACAAATTTCCGGAAAAACACATAGGTGTATATTTATTTTCTGAATACACAGAAATATACTATATATTCCGGAATAGTATATTTATGATATATTCCGGAAATATTTTACCTATATATTATTTTTCCGGAAACTGTCTGCCTATCAATTCGTTGTTAAGACATTCTGTAAATTGAAAATAGTTCGCTAATTTTTCTAAACTTTTAAGTTAAAAATGTCAAATCGTTATAGAAACTGTTGCCTTTTATTTTTATTTTTGCTGTTAAATGAATCAGTTGCATTTTTATTTAAAGGAAATAAGTAAGGAAACAACGGACTGTCATTAAATAAATTTTTTAAATTTAAGTGATGCACCAGTTGTTGTTAGAGGTCGAAGAAATTGTGGTTGCGGTGGTGGAGGAGGTGGGGGAGGAGGATGCGGTGGTGGCGGCGGAGGAGGATATGGAGGAGGTGGTGGTGGCGGTGAAACAAAAGTAATAACTTTAAGTTGTGGTGGAGGAGGTGGTGGATATGGAGGAGGTGGTGGTGGAGGAGGTTGTGGAGGTGGAGGAGGCGGTTGCGGTGGAGGCGGTGGCGGCTGTGGAGGAGGAGGTGGTTGCAGCAGCGGTGGTGGTGGAGGATGCGGTGGTGGCGGTGGAGGTGGCTGTGGAGGCGGCGGTGGATGCAGCAGCGGTGGAGGAGGAGGAGGCTGTGGAGGCGGCGGTGGATGCAGCAGCGGTGGAGGTGGAGGAGGCTGTGGCGGTGGAGGAGGATGCGGTGGTGGCGGTGGAGGAGGCTGTGGAGGCGGCGGTGGATGCAGCAGCGGCGGAGGAGGAGGCTGTGGAGGCGGCGGAGGATGCGGTGGTGGTGGTGGAGGAGGCTGTGGTGGTGGAGGAGGTGGTTGCGGAGGTGGTGGTGGAGGGGGATACGGAGGTGGTGGTGGTGAGACAAAAGTGATTACTCTAAGTTGTGGTAGCGGTGGAGGTGGCTATGGCGGAGGTGGTGGTGGAGGATGCGGTGGTGGTGGCGGAGGAGGCTGTGGCGGTGGAGGAGGTGGCTGCGGTGGAGGCGGCGGTGGATGCGGTGGAGGAGGAGAATGTGGAGGTGGTGGTGGAGGATGTGGCGGTGGAGGAGGTGGTTGCAGCAGTGGTGGTGGAGGATGCGGAGGTGGTGGCGGAGGAGGCTGTGGTGGTGGAGGAGGTGGTTGCAGTAGCGGAGGTGGTGGTGGTGGATGTGGCGGCGGAGGAGGTGGTTGCAGTAGTGGTGGAGGCGGAGGAGGATGCGGAGGTGGTGGTGGTGGCTGTGGAGGAGGCGGTGGTGGGTGTGGATGTGGTCGTCGCCGCAGACGCTTTGCTCTTCTACAACGTTCAATGTCCATGCTGTCATAAATTTATTTTAAAAGATAATCATTTTCATTCCTTAGCTTTGTATATTTGTAGATTCATTTTAGTTCTATTTTTTAGTTGATTTTTAGTTGTAGCAAAAAGATTTTTATAAATTTATAAATATTATTTTGATTAAATTTTTACTGACGTTTCTGGTTTTACAATATACTCATTAAAGAAACTCATTAAGACACATAATGGTAACAAAAATTTATAACGAGACTCAACAAATATTTATTCAATTGTAGTGGGGAATGTCACAAAAAACACTAGACACTCGATAAATTCCCTCTTAAAGGCCGTTCGGAAAATCAACTTAATTTCAGGCAATAGGGTTGGACACTTTCCATATGGCCATTAAATAAAAGCAAGGTTTATTTAATGTTAGAAAAAATAGAAAAAATTGCTTTTATAGAAGACAAAGAAAATATATTTATATCTACAACATATCAAATATTTCTTTTAAAGAATTAAATATGTGAACCTAGTTTATTATTAAACTGTCCGATGTCCGCAAAGTGTCCGCATTGCGTCGTTCCGCAGACGCTAATTTTTGGGTAGTGTTCCTTCGGGTACACGTTAAAGTTTTTTTAGCTGGTTTCTATTCGGTTGTGTGGTACTTTTATTGTAATTTATCGTTTTGTTTTAATTAAATCTAACAAAAATATTTAGATCTTTTTATTTTTTAAAAACCTCCTCAGTAGGGTTGGACACGACCGATTATTCACCAGTATCCTCGTTTTTCGGTTCCGGTTTGGTTAACCGTTTGTGTCCAACACTGCTCTTCAGTCTATCTTCTACTATTTTCCCTTTGAAATCATATTCAAATTATTGCCTCTCAAACATTTATTCCCTTTATATCTGTCAATCAAATACACTTTTTTATAAGTTATTTTCATCATGCCGCCCATTTTTCTTTCCTATTCCAAATTGTTGTGTGTTCTAAAATTATGTAGACAGCATTTGAGCCCTTTTTTGATCCCTATTTTTTGAGATTTTATGATGACCCCAGACAATTTACCTATTTACATAATATTATATTTTTCATTTAATCATTTTTTCCTTCCCAATATTTTTCTGTTCAATTCTCTTTTACCTAACAAAATTTCAAGATTATAGGTATTTTAAAGAAAATTTACCAACAACTTTAGAAAATAATTTAGAAAAAAAATGGAAAAATCGGAGGAGGCCATAATTAGTGCCCAGGCTGATTTTGCAATTAATTTACTTTCCAATGTTGTTTTTGGGCAAAATAAACCTGTAGAATCCACAATAATTTCTCCTTTATCTTTATCTATGGGCTTAGCTATTGTTTATGCTGGAGCTGATGGTGAAACTAAGGAGGAATTTGGGAACTTGTTGTCTGGAGGTAAGATAAGAGATGAGACCGGGGAGGGTCTTCAAAAGAAGGGGTGCCATTCTTTCCCCCTTTTTCTACTTTCTTTAAATTTTCTACTTTTATGCCGAATTTTATATCATTCGAAAGAGATCTTTGAGCTGAGTCTATCGACATAATCTGATTTAAATAAGCAAAGTTATGACATGTTGAATTAATACATTGTAGCAACGCACTCTTAATAACTTTTTCAGGCGTGGATAAGCTTAATATATCTGTTCATTAGAATCGTAAAATCTAACATAACTTTTGGTATCTTATTTGTTAGATCAAGCTCGAAGAGCTCTTTCGAATGATACTACATAATAAATTATTGTATATTAAGTAAAATAAACCTAAAATAGTCAACAAAAAATCCTAAATTTAGTCATTTTCAAGGTTTAAAAGAAGGCGAAACACATGCATATTTTGGAAAATTATTAAATTCGTATACTAACGATAAATCAGAAAAATATACTTTGGAATTGGCAAACAAACTTTTTGTTCAAAAAGGATTTAAAATTTTGGAGGAATTTAAAAATTTTGTTAATGAAAATTATGAGGGGAAATTTGAATTGTTAAATTTTGGGGAAAATGTAGAGGCGGCCAAAGTAATTAAATTAATTTATTTTTAGTATTTAATTGTACCGGCTATGTCTCGGTCGTAATTCCGAGTTCTTACTTTTGATTCATTTCCGATTTCCGACTGTTCCGCTTTCCGGCACCTTCGTCATTTACGACCAACTTATTCAGTTTCCCTCTGTCCAAATTTTTATTGCTGTACGAAGATCACTCACTCAGTAATGATGATGATCACTCACTCAGTAATAATCAGTACTGATGATCACTCAGTAATGATAAATAGAGTGCGGACGGGATATGTTGTGTCCGCACTTGCAGAAAGAACATAAATGAAAATAAATAAACCATCATTGGGATGGATGGTGGCACAGTCGGTTGTGCTTTCGGTTTGGGCCCTTTCCGTGATGGTTCAATTCCATCTCCCATCCACAATTTTTCTACAGCATGAACATCGGACATGACAGGATAGGATCCTGAACGGGATTTTGCAGGATCCTGTCCCTAAGTCCCCGTGTTTTAAGCGACGAACGGTATTATCGAGTTTATGGGATATCGAGTTCTGAAAATTCCGGAAAAAAATTCTGAACAAAATTCCGTTACGGGATCCCGCAAATGCGATTTTTCTTCACTCTAATAATAAATATTTTTTAAAGTTAATTAACGAATTTGTTGAAAAAACAACACACAATAAAATTAATAATGTGGTCAGTTCAGATTCTTTAGATTGCAATACTCGGTAATATTTCCATTATAATAACGATAAAATTTTTTTTCAATTTAATTAGTCTCTTACTGATCAATGCTATCTACTTTAAAGGAAAATGGCTTCGTACCTTTGATCCAGAATCAACTCGAAAAAAAGATTTTTATATCGCTGAAGGGAGAAATAAAACGGTTAATTTGAATATAGACAGTCTGGAAAAGCTTTAGTTTGATAATTACCTAAGCTGTTTAATTTTCGATTTTCGAGTGGTTTTTCTTTAAAATTTCAAATTTTTGAAAAACATTTTTAAATCTGACAATTTTTCGTCTTTGTGGATGAAAAATAGAGGACAAAATTTAATTTTATAATTTTATTTTAAAGGTTGATATGATGACAATAACTAACTATTTTCTTTATTTTGAAGATAAGGAGGTTAAAATTTAAATCTTGTAAAGTTTTAGTAAAAGATTTCATATAGTATGACTTTTAAAGAGTAAAGCAGTTGGGCTATAGCTATTTTTCTCCTTTAGCTAGTGCAAAAGACTATTCGGAGGCTGGGTGCAAACCAGCATCTTCGGTAGACCGGACTGATGTACCACTTCACTTACTCACAGCTTTAGGAATTAAATAGCCGTATGCTTTACATAGTAATTAATTATATATTATTAATATTATATTATTAATATTTAATTTTTAATATTTAATTTTGTAGCTACAAATGCTAAGAATGAAATATTCTTGTAAAGAAGATATTTATATGATTATACTCTTGCCTAAAGAACGTTCTGGTTTGGAGAAAATGACAAAAAATTTGAATGGAGAAAAGATTTTAAAATTGCTTAAATGTGGATATACAGCTAAAGTGGATGTAGGGGTTTTTTAATAATATAAATCCAGACTTGCATAAAAAACGCTGGCGTTTGCGGAAAACGCTGGCGGAAAACGCAACTTATGTAAGCACACAAACTGCGGAAAAACGCTAGCGTTTTTTCGTTTCAACGCAGCAGCGTTTTTCCGTTTTTCCGCTGCTAGCGTAAAACGCTAGCGTTTTACGCTGCGGAAACGCATATTTATGTAAGCACTCTCAATTTGCGGAAAAAACGCCAGCGTTTTTTCTCTCTCATTTTTACATACTATTTTCGGCGGAAAACTTTATGTAAGCGTAGCATAATGCAAACATTTTTGACTCATTTGTACAATATCCTTATCCACAACCAAGTCTGTATAAAACTATTGCCCAATGGTGATCGAACTCTGCCGGACTTCAATAAGGGGTTTCGGTTCAAATAAGGGGTTTTCGTCATATTAGGACTATTTACTGACTGGATTAATACAAAAAAAGAGACTACTTTTCCTTAAAATGGATAAAAATTAGGTATTTTTTTGTTAAGAGCTGGTATAAATTTATTTCTAATGAACGGTACTTTAGCTATAATAGTTCTTATTAGCATAAAATCTATGACATTTTCCTTCAAGGTTTTTATTCCCAAATTCAAACTTGAATCTACCCACAATTTAAAAAATGTGTTGATCAAGTTGGGCCTTACTTCAGCTTTTGGAAATGCAAATTTCTCCAAAATTACAACAGACGTGCCCTTAAAAATTGACAATGTTGTCCAAAAAGCTTTTATTGAGGTGGGAAAATTTTTTGAAACTTTCTTGGGGAAAAAATTTTCTTTTGAAAAAGGTAAACGAAGAAGGTACAGAAGCTGCAGCAGCCACAACATATTATGCATACACTCCAACTTCTCATCCCGTGGAGGAGGAGACATTTTTAGCTGATCATCCATTTACGTTTATGCTTATGAAGAAAAATGAAATTCTTTTTTGTGGTGTATTTCAAGGATAGAATGTTAAAATAAAAGATACTGTTTTAAAAAAAAGATAAAGATACTGTTTTCTGATTTAAATTGTTGCCATACTCATTAAAATAAAATTCATAACTTTTATCATCAACTTAATATTAGTTGAAAAAATAATTACCATATTTTTCCAAATAAACACTCCCAATTACTCCACTCCCCAATACAGCCCCACTTTTGAGGGTAGTTGAAAAATAGAGCCCACTCTTTATTAAAGCCGCATTCCCTAATAAAGCCCCAGTCTGGAGGACTGTTGAAAAATCAGACACATGGGGCTGTATTTGGTAAAATACGGTATATACGTTTATTTGACTATCAGTATCATCTACCTCTCTTTGTGATACAAGGGATTGATATGGAATTTAGGATTGATATTGAACTCAGTTAGGTTGTCCATCTCTTACTATATCTACCCTCATTCACCAGCAAGTATCAACTATCTACATATATCCCTTTTCCATCCAGTCATTTGGCACCATCAAATACCCTTCATCACCTTCCATGTCATCTCCATTCTTGCAAATACATACTTTTATTTTTCATATTAGCGCCTCTTCCCTTCAGTTTTTGTCAATTCCGTTCATTTCATTAAGAAGCCTTTTTTCTTCTTTTTTTTCTAAAAGATGCCCTTCAAAATTCTTTTTTAATATAAGATGTGCCGCCTTTTTTAGAGGTTTGTTGTTGACTTTTGCGGCAATGTGAAAAGCAGGCTGGCACTCATTATGTTTGTGTGTTTGCATGCGCGCGTGTGTGCCTTCTTACCCTAAAAACACATAACCACCATTTTCCTAACAGCCTCATTCTCCTTAAGAAACGAGTTTTCTCCCTATTCTCTTCTAAGGGTGAGAGACTTCTTTGGCCTGTTTATTTTTCTTTTAATTTTAAATTTTTTGAGTTGCTTCTCCATTGCTTTTTATTCCGTTATTTTATATATTTGCCCTTTTAATTTGCTCCCTCTCCAACTCATTTTGGCACATAAATTAAAAGAATGTCAAAAAACAAGTAACAGGGATGGGCTCTCTTCCGCTTTCCTTTACCCCTTCCGCGAAATTACACACTTTGACCCATCCGCTTTGGGCCTGTTGCTTTTTATTTTGTTCCGCTATCTTCGTTTCTACCTACCGCAGAGTCCTTAAAAAATTCTCCATCCGTATTATACATATTTGAGGACTGGCGCCAATCCTCGACCCAAAAATTAGCAAAAAGCCGACATTTAGAAGAAGATGAACTGGCATTTTTAAGTTTATTTAAGAATCAAACTGAATAAATTTTTATATATTATGCAAAATGAAATAAATATAGAAATCTCGAAAATCTTGAATCCTTTTATAGAACAAGGCTCATTTCGGTCCGAATTCTAAACTATAATTACTATGCATTTCTGTAATATCAATAAATGTGATAATATAAACTAACAGGGGAAGCCTACCTACAATTAGTCTGATCCTTTGGGAATCTCTCTTAGCATTAATTTTAACAAAAGTTCGGTTAGAAAGGACTAAGGAAAAACATAATTCATCCCTAGCTCTTCTTCCCTTCCTAGCTTTATCAAACTTTATTTCACCCATTAAAATGTCGAGAAGCCCAACAGGCGCAACTAGCGCCTCTTCGAACGAAAACACGGCGGCAATCCTCACATTCCATTTTCATTCCATATATGCCACATTCACAGCAGCGAAAGGACTTCTTCTCCCCCTTCCTTTACTCATTAGGCATTCGTTTCCTCTCATTTACCCCTCTAAAAACAGCTTTAAAAACTTCTCTGTCACATCCATTCTCGCTTCAACGAATCGCAAAAACCTTAATATAAAAGCTAAAAAATAAAATAAAAAATATATATTAAGGAAAAAATGATTTTTAATATTAAAGCTAGACAAATATAAAAAAATATTTTTGTGGGAAAATAATATGACTAAAAATGTTTTTAGTATAATAAAGCTTTTACTCGCAAATGTAGCAAAATATATTAAAAAGACTTTATTAAAAGTTAAAAGGAAGCCATAAAGTAATATAGCAACAGAGAACATTCTGTATTTTGTTAAGGAAGTATTTTTTAATTTTGTCTATAATATATGAAAAATTCATTTTAACGGAAAATACAAATTAAATATCTACAACTTTCCGGAAAAACACAAAATAAAGGCCCTTCCGGAAAATTTTATAATTAAATTACGAAGGTTCCGGAAATACAAATATTGTTTTCCGGAAAACTCTGAAAATACATATTATGTAAAATACAATAAAATTTCTAAAGAAAGTACAAACCAAAACAAATACGTAATAATTTCCAAAAAGATAAATACAAAGCACCATACATATAATACAACATCCGGAAATTAAATAAAACTTTACGGAAACACTCTAAATTTAATTTCTGTTAAAATGTATTTTCTAATATTTTGCAAAATACATTTTTAAATTTTTTATATTAAGTAATCGTAAAAATAATTGAAAAAATTATTTTTGCAATAATTCCTTCAAAATACCTTGTCACATTTTTGATCAACCAAAAAAATATTTTCCTTTTTATTTTTTAAAGGGGAAATAAAAGGAAAAGCTTTTTGTACTTAAAACCAACCGAAAAAGTAAGTAATACTAGAAGCAGCTGTTTTAAATGGCAAATCGATTTTTGGCTTTCCTTTTTAAAAAATATTTTTAGTATTTAAAAATCCATTTAGGTGACTAAAAAAAGAATTTTTTAAATGGTTTTGTTGCCTAATAAAACACAAAAGATGTTAAAATAGAAAACTTCCGGGATGGTGTATTTTCTTAAATGTATTTTATTTATTTTATTTTTTCCGGAAAAGATTCTATTTCTCTTTGCAAAATGTCTTTTTTCCGGAAATTATTTTATTGTCTTTGTATTTTCCGGAATGTTTAATATTTTATTTATTCACTTGTCTATTTCCGGAAACTTTACTGAAGTTTGTATTTTTCCGTAATTTATTTTATTTTTTTCCGGAAGCTTGTATTTTACTTTCAGGATTTTTTTGAATTTGTTTTATTTATTTTATGTTTTCCGGAAAAGATTTTATTTTTCATCCCAGTTTGCCTTTTTCCGGAAATTATATTATTATATATCCTTGTGTTTTTCCGGAATGTTATTTATTCATTACTTTTCCGGAAACTTGTATTTTCTCTTTAATTAATTTCGTATTTTTCCGTATTTTATTTCTTTCCGGAATCTTGTATTTTCCTTCAGGTTTTTATTATTTTTTTATTGTGTTTTATTTATTTTATATTTTCCGGAAAATTTATTTTTCTCACTTTTTAGGAAGCGTGTTTTTCCGGAAATTTTATATACCGTATTTTTCCAAATACAGCCCCATTCTCAATTAGAGCCCCATTCTCTCATTCTCTAATACAGCCCCAGTCTGGAGGATGGTTGAAAAATAGAGCCCCATTCCCTATTAGAGCCCCACTCCCTAATACAGCCCCACTATTGTAAGTCTAAGTAAATAATAAATTGAGTCATCCTTAATGATCCTGATCAACAAACTATTTTGATCAAACAAATTTCTTTTTTATTTCTTAATCAGGATTTGAAAGTTCTCTTAATCCATCCAAATCTACAGATATCCCTCCAAATTCACTCAAAATTCACACAATATCCCCTTGAACCTCCTTATACTTGCACACTAATATCTACGATACTATAGAGCGAAAAGGGAGTGTCGTAAGGGAAATCATGAATCTCGAAATTATTTGAATTTTTAAAAATTTGACTTATCATGGAGATATCGATAATCAAGTAGAGGGTTAATAGATATCACTAATATCATCTTTCACCCAAACCCTTTTAATCCTACGATATTCTCTTAATCGAAATTACTATTCGACTCTTGTATTTTTAGACAACTGCATTAAAAGGGATATCTAAAGATTAAAAGGATTATCTGTAGATATCTAAGGATATCAAGGTGTGTAAACACGATATTGACTTAATTTTTAAAATCATCTGATATCCCTTAAATCCATCATATCTTACACAATCCCTTCAAATTCAAAAAATTCCTGATATTATTCGTAATTCTACGACATCTCTCCAAATCAACATCATCCACTTAAATCCACAAGTTAGTCCCCAAATCCTCTAAAAGCTTAATCCAGATTCTCGATAATGCTATATATCACCCAAAATCGCTCTATATTCCATAAAACCCTCCAAATCCCCCGATTGTGTTGACACAGAGTCAGTAGGAATTAAACGTCTTGGTAGAAAAAATTTAAAAAAATATAGTTGAAATATAGAGCCCCATTCTCTAATACAGCCCCAGTCTGGAGGACAGTTGAAAAATACAGCCCCATGGGGCTGTATTTGGAAAAATACGGTACCTATTTTTTTTATTTTTTCTGGAAATTGCCTTTGTATTTTCCGTAAAATGTCTTGTATGTTGCGGAAAATTTTTTGTATTTTCTTAATTAAACGATTAAATATATTCAATTTTTCTAAACTCACACCTTAACTAAAAAAAATAATAAATTATATATTTTTTACGTCAATAAAATTTATAAAAATATTTTTGTTAAATTCTCTCCAATCTATTTGTGTAAAAACAACTTTTGTTTTAAGCACATGATTATAGACAACGCCTGTTTTTACCAAGGATTTTTTTCTATTTTTTGATAAATTACCCAAAAATTGATTGGGGGAATTAATCCAGAAAATTAAATTAATTCTGGCTTTGATAAAATAACAAAGTTAATTTTTTGGTTAAATTTAAGCAAATAATTTAATAAAGGTTAAAATAAAATTGGAATTATGGTAGCTTATTTCCGGAAATTTTTAATTTTTCCGGAATATTCATGTCAATTTACATATTCATTTGTCATATTTTTCGGTTTCGGAATAATTATGTTTCTGCTGAAAATCATCCAAACTCTCATATTTACATAATATATGAAAATAGTTTTTTAATTATATTTAAGTAAAACATTACTGGCATTTTTCGTAAATAATACACAAAATTAATTGACATATTTTTGAAGAGGATTTTCATACATCCTCAATAATTATTTTATTCTGAGATTTGTATATTTTATATAAATTTATTTATTGGCTATATTTTGCGTTTCCGGAATCTTTTTCAGAAAAAAAATCCGGAAACTTTTTTTTTCCTGAAAATCTTACAAACTTCTTATAATTTACATAATATATAAAAATAGATTTTTAATTATATTTAAGCAAAACATTCTAACAGCTTTGTAGGCATCATAAATGGCTTCTTGATCTTATATTTTTGAAGAGGATTGTTCATAAATCCTCATATAATCAAGTAAAATTAAATTAGCTCTTACGGAAAGTTGTTTTATGTATTTATTATTTATTTTCCGGAAATTGTCTTCTTTTGTTCTTGTTTATGAATTCAAGACAGGACTTTTTCCTTCTCCTGAAAATATCACAAACTTCTTATAATTTACATAATATATAAAAATAGATTTTTAATTATATTTAAGCAAAACATTACTCAACTCATTTCGCGTTGACTCACATTGATGGACTGTATTTTTCAAGAGGATTTTTCATAAATCCTCAAATATAATTGTTTTAGTTTGAAAATTTTTAGTTTTAGTATTAAATTTATTATTGCCGGAAAATTAAAAATTACTTATAAATTTCTAACATCGTAATTTGCTTTTGTTTCAATTTCTTCTATTTAATGAAACAAAATTTTAAAAATTTTATTTTTCTTAATTTTAGTTTGTCCTTTTCTCTTCCTAAAATTCCATTTTCTTTAAAAATTCTTCTTCTTATTTTCTTATTTTTTATTAATAGAATAATAAACGTACTTAACTAATACCTTCCAAAATTGGAAAAAATATATTCAAAAAAGAGTAAATAACTTCATTAGAATTTCCAAATTTTTCCCTTTATACTAGGGTTGCGCCCCGACCCCGACTAACCCCGACCCCGACCCCGAACCCCGACACTTTTTGACCTAAAACCCCGACCCCGACATTCCCAACCCCGAAAACCCCGACCCCCGAAAGTTCGACCCCGACGACCCCGAACCCCGAAAAATTTTTATGACCCCGACTCAAACTGCATTAATTAACTAGAGATCGGAACGGGATCGGGACTTTGATGTTAAATATATGAAGGAAAAGGGAAATGAATATTTATATTTTCTCCTATTTCCTTTTGTTGGTCGGTGGGCGAGTGGTTAGGTTAACTGACTTCACCCATCTAGCTATTTTGATAGGTATGGTGTTCGAATACATCGATTGAAATGAGACTGAGAAAATTTTTCTTCTCAAAAATAAATATTTTTAAACTTTGATCTTGATTTTAAATATGCAAATTTATTTTTTTTAATATTTTAAACCTGAAAAAATTTTAGAAATTTTAAACTAGTCATGAATTTTCCAAAATTTTCACCTGTTGCGTAGAAAATGGAAGAAATCTGTCTCTTGGCCTTCCTAAATTCTAAAAATTTTCGCCTGCGGCGCAGAAAATGGAAGAGATCTGGCTCTTGACCTTCCAAAATTCTCAAAATTTTTGCCTGCGGCGCTAAACTCAATGAAGGGATACAGAGGCTTTAGGAGAAATTGATGGATAGATGGATTTCTCCAGTTATACTTGCAAATCCCCGATATCTCTTCAAATCCCTCTAAATCCCATTATATCCATCTTAATCCTCTGATATGCCTTCATATCCCCTCACTCCCTTTAAGAGGGGGAGTAAGAGTTACCTTGTGGGTTTGGGGATTATGAAGGATAACTTGGATAAAGTACTTCTTGCGCCTTCAACTAATAACGAATTAGATTTAGAAAGTGAAGATAATGAAGATTAAGTTGATTTTTTAATAAAAATGTTGATTTTGCACAGTAATATTGGATAAAAATGCTGGATTTTGTAAATTTTCACTCAACCCCGACCCCGACCCCGAACCCCGACATGATTTTCAGCCCCGACCCCGACCCCGAACAATTTGAGCAACCCCGACCCCGACCCCGACTTTGTCAACCCCGAAAACCCCGACCCCCGACTTTTTCAACCCCGAAGGCTCGGGGCGCAACCCTACTTTATACTATCAAAGATGACAGATGGCTTGTTTATTTTTAAGTGTTTTTAGCTTATTTATTTATGTTTATTATTATTTCCGGAAAACTATTTATTTTTGTTAAATTAATTAAAGAATTTGTGATAAAATACAGAATCTTCCGGAAATAATTTTTATTAAATCAGTTAATTTATTCCGGAAATTTCCGGAATAATAATTATTGGAAGGATCCCGGAAACTTCGAAAATATTTCAGGAATTTCCGTAAAAGTTTCCGGAAAATGTTATTATTTCCGGAATTTTTCTACATTTATTATTCCGGATTATATTCTATATATTATTTTTAAATTCCGGAAAGATCCTTTTTATTTCCGTAAAGATACGAATCAATAAAATACCTAGACCTAATAACAGATCTGGTCACGGATACTGATTTTGGTATCCGTATTTGGATATTTACGGCGGATACAGGCGGACATCCGTAGGCATTTTGGTATTATCTGTATCCATATCCGTATCCATGACCAGGTCTGCCTAATAACCTTGCCATTTAATAATTATTAAAACAATTTTCATTATTCTCCCCACAAAATTTTCTTTAAGCAAAAAATCTTTTTCAAAAACTCATAAATTACGTCATAATAATTTTTAAAAATTAAATTTCCCAAATTCTTCAATAAAAAAATAAAAATATTCAAAACATCCTTTATTCTTTTTAATGTCAAAAATTTTCTCTTTTTTAAGGTAATCCACTCAAAATTCAATTTACGCCCTTCAAAAAATATTTTTTACCAAAAAAAGTTAAAAATGTACTCTTCTAAAGGCTTTAAGGGATTTATTTTAATGTCACTCAATTTATTTTCATAAAAATATTTTCTTTATTTTCAGTTATTTTTTAAAAATTATTTTGTTGAAGAAATGCCCTTTTAGGGTTGAAAAAAAACTTTTACCCACAAAAATAAACCCTACTTATTTTTAATGTCATAATGTCTCTTTTCAAATTTTCCGGAAAGAAAATACTTGTGTTTCAAATAAATTAATTTCCGGAGAAACACACATGAAATACATAATTATTTTTTTCCGGAAAAAATTAAATGTATAAAACACATTCAGGAAAATACAAAAATTCCGGAAGGAAAATACAAGCTTCCGGAAAGAAATAGAATAATTTACGGAACAATATGTGTTTTAGAAAAAAATACAAGTTTCCGGTATATAAAGTTATGCATAAATAAAAAATAAAACATTCCGGAAATACAAAAATGACAAGTAAAATAATTCATGTATTTTGCACGTATTTAACATACACATTTGTATTATTTTGAGGTTCCAGAATTTTTCGTCAAATTTATAGAAAATCCAGGAAAACTTAATTATTTTTTTATTTTAATTTTTCTAAATTAAAAAAATTCATTTCATTCTTTTTTTTTATTTTTAGATTATTTTCTAGCCTTCCTTTTCCAACAGAAACCTCAAAAAATGTTTAAACACCCAATAATTTCAACTACGTAAATGTACATATTTGAGTAGATTAATGTCTGAAAAAATTTTTTAAAATAAATTCTAGCCAGTTTCCGTTAAAATTAAAAGTCACAATTAAAAAAAGATATAAAAAATTAATTCCAGCAAAATTCTTTTAAGTCCGGTTATTAAAAAAGCAAAAAATACATATGTAAAATTAGATAATGATGAGAAGACTTAAAATACAAATTTAATAAATTTATCAAAATATTTTAATTATATCCTGTTATTAATATTTTAATTTCCGGGAACATTTAGTTAATATTAACCGGAAATAAATATATTATACTTTTATCATATGTTTCCGGAAATGTTAAATAATAGTTTCAGGTTATTAAATAAAAGTCTCCTGAAATTAATAAATCTTTCCGGTAATTTATATTCTTCCGGAAAAGTATGCAATAGAAGCCATTAAATATTAGAGTTGTTGTTTCCGGAAACATTACTATATTTTGTTTCCGAAAAACTTGATTATATTTAAATATTTCCGGAAACAAGTTGTCCGGTTATCAAAATATTAATAGGAGAAATTAATAAAAATATGTATATTTAACATTTCTAAATAATTATAATTATGTGACATTTTAATTTAAAATTTACCCCAAATTTCAAAATTTTAAAATTAAAAATTCCCAGGATTCTCTTTTCAATATTATTTTTTCATTTCATTATTACGTCATTTCCATTACCAAAAAATTTCTTTTTTATTCCCGCAGAGATTTAACGGTTAAATGACTACCAAAAAGCAACTTTTCCATATTTGCTTTTTATAAATTAAATTGAATATAAAATCAAAAAATTCTTTAAAAACCCCCTTATATTTATTTTCCATTAAATTTTTGCGAGAAATATTTTTGGAAATGTATATCAAAATATCCACTTTATTTTGTAAAAATATCAGAAGGCCTTAACGCAAAAATTCACATTTTCTTTCTCACGAGGGAAGAAATTATGGACGAATATCCGTGGATCCATCCGTATCCGTCCGATTTTAAAAAATAAGTATACGGATATATCGGTGAGATCCGGATATTATCCTTAGCCATGACCATCAGTCTGCTAGAAATATGCCATATATGTCAAAATAAGTCAAATAAGTTTATTTATTGCCCTGTAACTTTTGAATCACATCCATTCAAAGGCATCCGCGATTACTTCCGTTTTTTCTTAAAAATGCCACGTCAATACTAAAATTTATTTTTTTTTTGTTTTTTTTACTATTTTTGTTTATCTTGTAAATTCCAGGAAATATATTTACTAATCTTTATTCTTTCCCTAGAATTTTACCAAAAATTAATTTTTTAAATTCTCCCATTCATTAAAAAATAACAAAAATATTTATTTTTTTTTTTAGAATTTTTAAATAAATTAATTTTCGATTCATAATTATCTCTTCTTTATTCTCTAAGCAACAAATAAATAATTAAAAAGAATTTTTTCTCAATTTCTATTTATGGATTTAAATAAAATTAGAAAAGAAGAAAATTTAGATAAATAAGCAACATTTAGAAAAAAAATTTTATTTGGAATTTATTTGGAAAAAAGAAATTTAACTAATGGGGTCGTCAGCTGCGGCAGCATGGCTTCCTTTTGCAAAGTAAAAAAAATTTTTGAAAAAAATTTTTTTACTTTTCCAGAAAAAATTTTAGATCTTTTTTTATTTTATACAGTTTCTCGGATATAGTCTAGTATAGGACCTGAACTAAAATGTCAATGTTATACTAAGTTGAACGGTACTCTCTCTAACAAATAAGTGTAGAGATGCCTGTGGACCGAGATACAGGTCCACTAATAATGAAAAACCATAGAGGGGAGTAAGCTCAATTTTGTGGTAAGAAATTCGATTTTTTATGATAGCTCTTTCTAATAAGCTCGACAAGCTGAAACGAATAATACCTAAATCGTAGTGATTGAACAAGCTCAGATTTATTTAGTATTGTGTAAAAATTAAAAATTTTAATATTTTGTTAAAATTACGAAATGTTAATAAAATATTTTTTAAGAGCATCTGCCGTTGGATGGTCTCCGATCTCTCGATCATCCCTTCCCAAACCTCCAGCTGCCCTAAAGGCTTGTTTAATTAATTTGATAATGCCGTCAGATTGTCCCTACTATATGACAGACCCAAATACTCCCAAAATCCCAAATACCGTATTTTCTCTAATACAGCCCCATGGGGCTCTATTTTTCAACCCTCTTTTGAGATAAAATCCGATTTATTAAATAACAATTGCAACTAAAGATTGGATGGATTTCTCCCATTTTTGCCAATAAATTTGGTAAAAATATATCGAGTCTTGTTCGAGTCGAGCAGATTTTCCGAGCCATTTTTTCGGGCTTGCTTTTATCGAGTAGGGGCCGGTTATTCGAGGAAAATGAATGGATTTTGTTTGATTAAGAGGGATATCTAAGGATAAAGGGGATATCTTGGCCTCGAATATCTCCTCCTTTTCCCCTTAGTTAATCCCCTCATATTTCACTTAATCCCTATATCCCATGACCCCTCCCCGTAATCACCTTTATTTCCTTAACTCTCGTAATTACCCCATTATAAGATACCCTCATTTTAAGAGATTCCTCATTATAAGAGACAAGTTCTCTAGAAAAAAAGAGACCTAATGGGTCAGACTAGACTGGTCAACTTTTAAAATTAAAAATTAAAAAATTTTTTCAGGCAAGAGAATTAGCCATAGACCACGTTGGCGATGTAAGGTTAATAATCAACGTCTCCGGTGTGGGTATTTAATTAAATTTAAATAAAATTGTTTTATTTTTTCGTTTAACTCAAATTTATTTTAAATATTTATAGCGTCGTTACGACACGTGGAAGAACACTTTAGAACGCTTTCCAGAAACCCTGTTGGGTAGCAATGAAAGGGAATTTTTTTACGATGAGGATGCAAAAGAATATTTTTTTGATAGGGATCCAGACCTTTTTAGGTTCAAATTTTTTGAAATTTTTTAAAGTTTAAAAATTCCCAAAAAAATCCTTAAATTTTCAATTCTAGACACATCCTCGCATTTTACCGTACTGGGAGACTACACTACCCCCAAACTGAATGTCTGGTCTCCTATGAAGAGGAATTGGCATTTTTTGGAATTATACCAGATTTAATTAGTGATTGTGAGTTTAATAATTTTTTGCCTAAAACCGCTACAAGCTTAGATATTCAAAAAAAATTTAAGAGGACTTAGAAATCCTCGCTCCAAAAATTATTTTTTGAATATTTAAATTATGTTAATTATGCGCATTATAAAAGTGTTTCCTTAAAAGAAAACATATTTCATTTATATAATATTGTGTACATATGTATAAGATAAATTTATAAACTTTCATTCAATCCTCCGATTTGTACTTTATGCTTTTGAGTTTTCTATGAAGAGGAAGCTTTGAGAACAATGCTTGTAAATCACGATTTTGTTTGCATTTCGTACCAGGGATTCTACACCACAATCAGTGGTGTATGCATTGCGTTAAATTTTGCCCTTGTGTTGCGTTTTATCCTATTGTATCTTACGCATTCTCATGTTTCCCATACCCGACATCGGAAATTTATTATTTTTTATCGACAAGAACTATTTTTCATTATATCCCTAATTTTGACATGTACTTATTAACATTTGTGATCGGGTTGGAGTGTCACACATGAACCGTTTGTGACATTTTGCTCTCGTTATTTGGTAAATGGGCTTTTCGGCATTCGGCATGCCGAAAAAATACCCCAGCGAAAATTTCGTTATCATTTGCTGCACAGTTACGGTATTGATATATAGGGGAAAAACCAGTTATACTACTATATGTGTCTCACTTAATCTCGATAACAAATTACGTGGAGCATAAGAAAAAATTTATGAGGATTTAAATAACATCCTCGTTCCAAAAATTACCTACTATGTATACACTTTTACCACAACAGTAATTATCCCTAGGAATCTGTATTATTAAATAACAATAAATTTAATTATTAATATTATATTAAGTAATTAAAATTTATTTTATAGGTTGTTACGAGGATTATAAAGACAAAAAACGGGAAAATCAGGAAAGACTAATGGAGGAGAGAATAGATGCCCCAGAAAAGAAGAAAGACATGACTTTTAGGGTAATTCCATGGAAAAAATAATTTTAAAAATTTCTAAAAAATTTAATTAAAGCAAAAAATGTGGACAGCTTTTGAGGTGATTTTTTTAATTTTATTTTTTTTCGGAGCTTTGATTAATTTAAATTAATTTTTAAAGAATCCTCACACCTCCACAACAGCGCTTATTTTTTATTATGTAAGTCTTTTTTGGGAAGAATTTTTTTTTCGAGCCGAAGTGAATTAGCAGGAAGAGAATTTTAAAATTAAAGGGAAGGGGAATTTAAGTAAGCCTAAACAATTTTTGAGTGATAGGAAAAGGGCGGGGACAAAGAATGAAAAGGTATCAGTTGAACTTGTGAAGTTGGATTTTCGGATAAGTTGAATCTTAGACAAATACAATGTAAAGTTTAACCCCAGAGATTTTACGAGGATTGCCGGCTAATCCTCTCTCCAAAAATTACAAAAAAATAACAAATAATTTAAATTGTATAAATGAGGTTAATTTAATTAAAATAAACTTAAATTCGTTTATTTAATATTATGTAAAAATGGAAAAAAATTTTTTTTATTCACTTAGCTCCGTTCACTTAATTTTTTACACATAAATCTCATCTTAAAATTCTCCCCTCCTATTTTTGCATATAACCCCTAAAAATTATTTTTTTCTCTAAGGTGACAGGCTTCTTCATTGCCGTCTCTGTCCTCTGCAATATAATAGAAACCATCCCCTGTAAATACCTCGCTCACAGTTTTGGCTCAATCTCTTGTGGTGATCTCTATGAAAAACAAGTAGAAATTAAAAAAAAATTTTTTCGAAAAAATCCCCTCCCAATTTTTTCAGTTTTTTGTTCTCGACACAGCCTGTGTTGTTATTTTCACTATAGAATATTTATTTCGATTATATGCGGCGCCGGATAGGTGCAAATTTGTTAGGTCTATAATGTCTCTAATTGATGTTATTGCTATTTTACCTTATTATATTGGGCTGGGATTACAGGTAGAATTTAATTCTGATTTTATTAAATTCTGGTTTTATTAAATTCTGATTTATGTAAATTCTGATTCTACAGGGTGACCAGAAAGTAGTTGCACAGCTTATTTATGCCATAACTTTATTCAATATTTAGATATAGCGATCAAATAAAGTTTATGTGATAGAGAATTAATCAAGAATTTTTGAATTACCCACCTCTTGCCTTAACAAAAAGTCGAAGGCGCGCGGAAAAATTTTGGCAATAGTTCGCACCTACTAGGGTAAAATTTTCTCCAATTACTGGACGGGTGATTGCAGTATCGACTCTAAACTTTTTGGTTATTAATAACAGACAGTTCCCTCAAAAATACCAAAAGGAGTAATCCATCGGATCAAACTCCAATGAGTACGGTGGCAATTTTTGAGACATGTTAAAACATGGTAAATTGGCTGTGATCAACCTTGCACTACTCTAGCCTTATGAGCTGAGGAAGAATTCTGACGAAAGAAGGGGTAGGTACTTCAAAAATTCTTTATTATTGCTGTTCCTTATTTAATTCTCTATCACTTAAACTTTATTTGATCCCTGTATCTAAATATTGAATAAAGTTATGGCATAAATAAGCTGTGCAATTACTTTCAGGTCACCCTGTATTGCTTTCAACTTCTGTTCTGATTTTCTTATTTCCGGTTCTCAAAATTCTGATTTTACTAAATTCTGATTTAAAAAATTCTGATTTTATTAAATTCTGATTAAAAAAATTCTGATTTCTGTAAATTCTGATTTCAATATTCAGATATTAAAAATTCTGATTTTTGTTAATACTGTTTTGCAAAATTCTAATTTTCAGTAAATTCTGATCCGCAAAATTCTGAGATTTATAATTCGGATTTTTAGTAAATTCTGGTTTGTAAAATTCTGATTTTGATATTTCTTATTTTAAAAATTCTGTTTTCTATAATTCTGATTTTTTAAATACTGATTTTATTAAAATTCTGATTTTTAAAAAATTATAGGAGAACAAAGACGTCAGCGGAGCTTTTGTTACGTTGAGGGTATTTCGCGTATTTCGAGTCTTTAAATTTTCAAGGCAAGTTTTTTCGATTAAAAAATTTTTAAAAATTATATTCTTCCCTTCCAGGCATTCCCAAGGTCTTCGAATCCTCGGATATACCCTCAAATCTTGTGCCTCAGAACTGGGTTTCTTAGTGTTTTCGCTAGCTATGGCAATTATTATTTTTTCTACAATTATTTACTACACAGAAAAACGGGTGCCTGACACTAAATTTACTTCAATTCCTGCCGCTTTTTGGTATACCATTGTTACTGTAAGTTAATTTAAATTATGAATAGAGTAAGGATGAAGGGAAGATTGTTCTCTTTTTAATAGTCGTTTTTGAACAATATATAAAATTTAATTTATAATTTTATTTATATAAAAGTATATGTAACACGTTTTGTATGGTTGATTCGAGATTTAAGTTTGTATTTTTGTAGAAGATTGTTTCGCAATCTTCAAGAATTATCTGAGGTCTAATACATTAACTATAAATCTACGTTACTTGCTTTAACCCTCATAACACGTTAAAGCTCTTTGAAAGTCTCGCGACCTTTAATAGTAATCTTAGTACTCCGTTGTTCCAATATCTCTCAAATATTTCTGTTAATTCGAAATATCATCTGAATATAAATATATTCTCCTTTATATTCTTTAAGTGAAAGACTCGGTGTATATTTTTAAATGAATAGAGTTAGATTAAGTAGAGTTAGATTAACAATTTAAATTTCAAATCTGGCAATTTTGCCAAAATAAAATTGTGTTTTTGCGTTTTTTTGGCTCCTCTACATTATTTCCTATATTAAGTCTTCGTTTTCGTATACAAAATTAAATAAAAATAAATTTTTTAATTTAGCTTACAACACTTGGATATGGCGATTTTGTTCCTTATACTGTAAGCCTCTCAATAAAATTTATTTAAAAATTGTTAAAAATTAAAAAGGTAATGGGAAAAGTTGTGGGAGGTATTTGTTCATTAAGTGGAGTTTTGGTTATTGCTTTACCCGTTCCTGTTATTGTCTCAAACTTTTCTAGAATTTATCATCAAAATCAGAGGGCGGACAAGAGGAAAGCTCAAAAGGTGAATTTTTGAATGGGGGATTTAAATTTTTTCTAAAAGAATAAAGACACTCCCAATTAGGGGATTTACTTCAAAAATTCTGGAAATTTTGCTTTTTTTAATTTTGCATTTACATAATATTAAATAGTTGAATTATAATTTTATTTACATCAATCTGTAAGCTACTATATAACTATTTTTAGAGGGATCTATGTTGTAATTTTTGGGACGAGGATATCCTAGGTGTCCTCATAAAATTCGTAGAATGATTCGGATTAGTGATGATTCGTATCGTCAAAAATCACTGATATCATCCCGAATCCCTCAGTACCTTATATCACAAAATCGATACGGCATTAGTTGATATATAGCAAAGCTGTGCGCCATGGCGTTTTGGCGTTGCCTATCGTCTCTTTCGCTCATCCCTGATCCGGATATTCACCCTTGTTTCCGACAGCTTAACTAATATATATAGTTTGCTGTAATTTCATTCCCGTTATTTATTAAAAATTCTTATTAAGAAAGCCAGAATGGCGCGAATTCGAATTGTTAAAAACGCTAGTGGCCAAGTACTATCAAACCGTCGGAAAGGATATGAACAAAGAATGCATGATTTTGAGCTTGGTTTGTTGGGACCTGAACAATTAAAAGACGAGGATATATTCCAATTACAACATCACCATTTGCTTATGTGTTTGCACAGAGCTACGGTATGTTAAGCCGGTTAACCGATAAACCAGAACGAGAATCTGCCGGTTGTTGTTGACAATAAGTATAATATTGAGATTTAGCTCCTACAACTAGAGAGTCTCTTTCTCTTATAAAACCCTCTCAGTACTATCCATACTTACAAGGAGACCCAACTTAAATCAAAAATAATTTCCTCATAACAAATTTATAATTCAAGGAATGGGATAAAGACGAATCAGAAGAACGGGAAAAAAGAACAAGCATTGGACAAAAAAGAGAAGGAGAATGTAATTATGACCAAAAAAGCGACAACATCCTCCCAGACCAAATTAATGACAACAACAATTCCCCACCCTTTCAACAACCCCCATTTAAATTAACACCCGTGAGGAACTGGTTAACTCGAATGAGACAACACAGCGCTTCTTTTTGTGGGCAAAGAGGGAGTAGCAGGAAAACGCTTTGGAGGTACAAAGCTAGAAGAATGTCTAGTAGTGGGAAGGATACACAGAGACTTGATGAGGAAGAAGCGATTGGAGGGGATGGTATGTTGAATGATAACTTTTAATTTAAAATAGGAGAGATATGGATAGCACCGAATATTGCAAGTTTAGATTCCATCATATTTGTTAAGTCTAAAGGAGGAACCAAATGGGAACCAATGATCTGCTTTTAAGCAGTTCAATGTTTATGAAAAATTGTTTTGTTCTACTTAATAGCAAATAATTGAAATTAATTATATTTAATTTAACCCTGAATTCTAGTGAAACATTGTCAGTAACAATTGACGAGGAATTTATTTTTGGATGGAGGGTGAATCAAATCCTCCTAATATTTGTTTATCAGATAGCCGAACATTTGCCTTTTTGGGTAACATAACGTTATTGTTAAACACTTTGTCTGGTTCTGAACCCGAACCTCAAATTCTCAAACAAAAAATTTTCTTAGCTGCTTTACGGCTTTTAATAATTGTTTTCTTTTTTCAGTTCTAAACACCAACAAACATTCACATTACCAACAACTTTCACAGCTAAATGCAATCCCCTTGAGGGTAACACCAGCTAACGAGCCTAGCACCTCCACAACAGTAATAGATGAAGAGTTAGATCATCAATATACTCGAGAACAACAGTTGGAGGACTGTGAAGATGCTGAATTGATTAAAGAAAGTAGCCTGAACGAAGACAAAAATGAAGGAAAGGAAGAGAAGGGGCAGATATTTAGACATCCCCCTATTCGCATTGTTGTTTCGGAGGAAGGTTTTGATCCAGGGGAGGTTGGAAGAGATGGAGGAGGGCTTAGAGGGGAAGGAGAGGAAGAAGGGGAAGATTTAGGAAGGGAAGAACAACAACAAGAAAGGGAGGAAAACAAAAATAGAAGGGAGGAAGAGGAACAAGTTGAAGAATCAAAAGAATCAGAACCACAACAAATAAACGAAAATAATAAAATAATATCATTGGAGGAACTACAAAGAGTAAAATTAGAAAATACAAATAGGTGCCAATAAATCTCAAAAAAAATTTATTTTCTCTCCTAAATTTTTGAACATAATCAACACTTTTATTTTGTCGCTTAATAGCGTGGTTTGCTCATTTTTATAGATGGATGTCAGAATTTTATAAATCAAAATTCTGATTTTTCTTTAATTCACCTACATAAATATCAATTCTGATTTTTAAAATTTTTTCAGAATTTTTAATTGCTTTAGCTAAAAATCAGAATTCTGAATAATAATCTTAAATAAATTTTCTGACTAAAAACCAAATTCTGATATACCGTATTTACTCGATTAATTCCCCCGGGGAATTATTTTTTCAACCCATCCGTAGCATGGGGAATTAATCGAGGGAGGGGAATTATTCTAGGGAGGGGAATTAATCGAGTAAATACGGTAAATAGAATTACAAATTCTGATTTGTATTTTGTAAAACCTTTGTAACGGATTGTTCAAAATTCTGAGATTAATTTCTTGTTTCATTTCTTATCTTATTTTGCCATTGAATCTACTCTTGTCTTTTTTTAACACAAAAGATATTATTTCATATATTATGTATTTTCATTTTAAATTTTAAAATAAAACAATGTGTAAATGAAAATTTATATTTTATCGGGTCAGGGGCAAATTCGAAAAAATAAAACTAGAACGCATTAACATGAAAAAGCGGTTCTTCTTAATAATCTTCCAATTCTTCATCCTCAGGCATCTCGTTCAAATCAAAAGGATGAATTTTCTTATTTGAATCTATTGTGTCTTCTTCAAGAATTTTGTTTGGTTCTTCTACTTCGATTTGATTTTGCTCATCCTCGCCATTATTGCATTCTTCCTCTTCTTGATTAAAAAGAGTTCCTTCCTCCTCGCAGACAATTGATAATTTAACTAAATTAGAAAAATCACCAGTCTGTGAATTAACAAATGAAGTTCCTTCATTATCAGCAGATTGAACGTTTTTCTTATTTTGTCGGTATTTTCGCTGGTATTCTTTCAACTTATCTCTATTATTTTGGTTATACATTTTCTTGTTTTTCTGTATCCTTTCTTTATTCCTTTTATAGTAATTTCGTTGATTCTCATTTACCTTTTCTCTATTTTGTTTTTTGTAATTTTGCTTATGTTTAAGCAGTCTTTCTTTATTTTTTTGATAATATTCTTTAAAATATTCACTTCTGGTAGCCTTTTTGTCTCCTCCATTATCAGTGTTATTTTTTGTATTTTTTGATTTTGGGTTTAACGTTTCTTTATGTTTTTGAATTTGAGGATTGACAGACGATCCAGCCCCATCATTTAATAATTTAGTTGCCGTGTAATCCTTTTCAACATCTCTTGCCAAACCTTTTCGAATTGGAGTTGTTTTAATACTTGACCATAAAATCAAATTGAAGATTGAAACGATTAAAATACAAGCAAGTTTCATGCTAAACAAATTTTAAAATTTAAATAAAAATTAAAGAAAAATGATAAAATTTAATTAAAAATTGCATTTAAATAAACGAAAAATTGTGTGTATGCATAAAAGGGCAGGCAATAAATTTAGAGAGTCTAAATATTAGGCAATCAAAATACAAAATTCAAAGTGCATCTACACACACGTTTTTACATTTCTTAATAAAAAAATAAAATGTATTGAACGGATGCTGTGTCGAAATAATGTGTCGAAAACCAGAAAAAAGGACTTGCATAATCAGAAGTAAACAACCAACCCAAATAACCAAACCCAAAAGTATTTTGTCAACGTTTTTTATATTTTTGAATTTGAGGATTGACTGACGATTCAGCCCCGTCTTTTAATATTTTTAAAAATTTCATTAAATATTTTCAGCGTAATCCTTTTCAGAATGTTTAGCTAAGCTTCTTAGTTGGAGTAGTTAAATGATGCATAAATGATGCAAGTATATCGCATGGCTGAAGTCTCATAGAACAATTTCACAAATGTACTAGAGCGTCGAACTATCTGACGGACAGATTAGTAAATTTCACAACTATCTTTACGTTTTTAAATATCAAAAACAAATAAAATTCATTGAAAGAAAAGTGCAATCTCGAAATAAAACTGCAAAAAATTTTGAATAAATTTGTGAGAAAGAAAAATTAATAATAAAGATTTGATGAAAGCCATATCTCGGACAAAAATCTATGTTAAGAATATCGATATTTATGAAAGAGAGATTTTCGGAATCTCTGCATATGACTTTATCTGCTTAATTTTTGTTTCAGTCCTAGGCTAAAAATCTGGATAACTAAAAAATTCAAAATTTGCAAATTGTCAGGGTAAATTGTTGAAATAACTTACTAAAATTCGAAATTTTTTTCTGTAGGAAAAATTATTTATATTTAGGATTAAGACCCAGTGGGCGTATGCTTAAGCTTACGACGCTTTAAGTTTAAACCTAAAAGTCCTGGACGCTAAAAAAGCATAAAAATCTTAGATTTTTTGCTTTTTCTCCAGTACGAGTAAGTAAATGTATGCGCCAAAAATAATCCGTACAAAGTATCCACACTCTACCGTAATTTTCCTCGGGTAATTAACTGAAAGGTTGACAGTTTAGCGCAGAGAAAACATAAAAGAGGTTTATTTACAAATAAATAAAAATCTAAAGCATATAAATCTGTGATAATGTTCTTAAATATATTTCAAGTAAATCAGGTGATAAAACATTTGATTGGGTTATCATGTAAAAATAGTAACATTTAAAAGCCATGTATTTTGTTAATTCATTTTCTGTGAAATGTCTCGTCTGTCTATTCATCTAAAACGCAATCTATTCCAAAAGGCTTCAATTTATCGGGTATTTGCACCGGTCTTTGGGTCAATTAAAAATTCTTGATGGTGACTGTTTTATGCTTATATGCTTTTTGTTCAAATAAGCTGTCGGTCGCCAATCATCAGAATAGATGAGTGTTCAAATGTCAATTCCCGAATAAGGCGGGAAATTTTTACACCCTAAGAATGTTAACTTTTTCTGAGCGATGGTTGATTGGTTAGGTCGAATAAAAAGGGAAGCAAATATAAATTCATTATCAGCCATAAACTTCATTATCAGGCATCTCGTTCAACCAAAAAGGTCTAAATAATACAGATAAAAAGGAAAAAACAGAAAAAAGCGATCCTTCTTAATATCTTCTTATTCTTCATTATCAGGCATCTCGTTCAAATCAAAAGGAAGCATTTTCTTATATAAATCTATTGTGGCATCTTCAAGGATTTTATTTGGCTCTTCTACCTCGAGTTGATCTTCCTTTCCTTAATTAAAAAGATATCCTTCCTCCTCGCAAAAAATTGGTAATTTACCTTCATTAGTAAAATTAGCAGTCTGTGGATTAACAAATGAAGTTCCTTCATTATTATTAGATTCAGCGTTTTTCTTTTTCAGTCGGTATTTTCGTTTGTATTCATTACACTTTTCTTTATTCTTTTTATAGTAATTTTGCTGATACACTTTTAGCTTTTCTTTGTTTAGTTTTTGATAATTTTGAAAGTATTCTTTATTATTTTGGTAATACTCTTTATCATATTCACTTTTGTTAAAAACTTTGTCCCCTCCATTATCCCTGTATTTGTCATTTTTTGTCAATGTTTCTTTATCTTTTTGAGTTTGAGGAATGACCGACGATTCAGCCTCATCATTTAATATTTTAGATGCCGAGTAATCGTTTTCAGCACGTATTGCCAAACCTTTTCGAATTGGAGTTGTTTTAATACTTGACCATAAAATCAAATTGAAGATTGAAACGATTAAAATACAAGCAAGTTTCATGCTAAACAAATTTTAAAATTTAAATAAAAATTAAAGAAAAATGATAAAATTTAATTAAAAATTGCATTTAAATAAACGAAAAATTGTGTGTATGCATAAAAGGGCAGGCAATAAATTTAGAGAGTCTAAATATTAGGCAATCAAAATACAAAATTCAAAGTGCATCTACACACACGTTTTTACATTTCTTAATAAAAAAATAAAATGTATTGAACGGATGCTGTGTCGAAATAATGTGTCGAAAACCAGAAAAAAGGACTTGCATAATCAGAAGTAAACAACCAACCCAAATAACCAAACCCAAAAGTATTTTGTCAACGTTTTTTATATTTTTGAATTTGAAGATTGACTGACGATTCAGCCCCGTCTTTTAATATTTTTAAAAATTTCATTAAATATTTTCAGCGTAATCCTTTTCAGAATGTTTAGCTAAGCTTCTTAGTTGGAGTAGTTAAATGATGCATAAATGATGCAAGTATATCGCATGGCTGAAGTCTCATAGAACAATTTCACAAATGTACTAGAGCGTCGAACTATCTGACGGACAGATTAGTAAATTTCACAACTATCTTTACGTTTTTAAATATCAAAAACAAATAAAATTCATTGAAAGAAAAGTGCAATCTCGAAATAAAACTGCAAAAAATTTTGAATAAATTTGTGAGAAAGAAAAATTAATAATAAAGATTTGATGAAAGCCATATCTCGGACAAAAATCTATGTTAAGAATATCGATATTTATGAAAGAGAGATTTTCGGAATCTCTGCATATGACTTTATCTGCTTAATTTTTGTTTCAGTCCTAGGCTAAAAATCTGGATAACTAAAAAATTCAAAATTTGCAAATTGTCAGGGTAAATTGTTGAAATAACTTACTAAAATTCGAAATTTTTTTCTGTAGGAAAAATTATTTATATTTAGGATTAAGACCCAGTGGGCGTATGCTTAAGCTTACGACGCTTTAAGTTTAAACCTAAAAGTCCTGGACGCTAAAAAAGCATAAAAATCTTAGATTTTTTGCTTTTTCTCCAGTACGAGTAAGTAAATGTATGCGCCAAAAATAATCCGTACAAAGTATCCACACTCTACCGTAATTTTCCTCGGGTAATTAACTGAAAGGTTGACAGTTTAGCGCAGAGAAAACATAAAAGAGGTTTATTTACAAATAAATAAAAATCTAAAGCATATAAATCTGTGATAATGTTCTTAAATATATTTCAAGTAAATCAGGTGATAAAACATTTGATTGGGTTA